CGTGACTGCGAAAGAAATCCCGACTGGACGCATCTGCAGGTGACCACCAGCGTTGGAGTGAAAAACCGGAGCAGAATCACTCCGGTGATTATGCTAAATAAAAGTTGTTGACTAACACTGACAACGAATCAGAGTGCAGCTGTATACATCCTATCTTATCTATGTTAATGTATGTGACCTTTCACGTATGAGGTCCCGGCGATTTTGAAAGACTACTTATATACATTGGACATTTAAATTGAATTGTTTTCAGTAAACATGGATGAAAGTATTGCCTTCGCACTTAGAATGTTAAAGTATCCATCTTTATGATCAAATCGAATCAACCTTTAAAAGGTCATGTTTATTTCACACACCCACTCATGAATAATCAATGACGTCATGAATAATTAATAGCAGTCAAATGCACGCAGATGCGTCCAGTCAATATTTCGTTAGCGGTCGCATTAATTTTCGCGATCACGCTAAAAGGACTAAAAGAACAATTAATTATTTCTTTTTGTAAAACAAAAAAGAAGTCCCAACTTTGCCAGTCTACTGACGGATGTACATGTATACTGAGTTTACTATGAGCATACAGCAAAATACAATGACACACAAATAAGTACTACAGGTAAATCGACAAAAACTTCCCTGAACAATTTCTTTTAAATACTGTAGAATACTTTATTTTCGCTTGGAATTTATTTTCGCTGTTTTCGCTGAAGGGATGATTCCGTGAAAATAAAATCCAGCGAATATACTTTTTTCATATATATTTTACATTAAACTCATCAAAAACCAGTGAAAATAAATTCTACACAAAACGCCTAAAAAGCTATTTCAGCGAAAATTAATTCCAGCGAAAATAAAGTATTCCACAGTATATATATATTTTTTTAATGAACATGATCCGAATAATGCTGACCACTTTAATGGCACAGTTTCTGGTGCATAAGTTCACGTTTTTGGACTTTTTTCTGCTTTTTCAAAGTTTGTTGTATTGTTTTTTTTTTTTTTCAGTGACAAATATCGCACACATTCATATTCGAGATACACTTACATCATTTCTGATAACTTCTCGGCTGTCCGACAATAAATCCACTAATTTGGACACACCCATCGGACTGACTAAAATCACCTGCTGTAGTTGACTATGTCTGTTAACCAATAACGACGTTAATAATCTAACGGTCGGTCTTCGAATATGAAAATCATATTCCTAAATAAACAAAGAAAAAACAAAATTATCTACAGAGGGCGCTAGTTAAACAAAAGTGTGCAATTAACATACGAGAAAGAAACAAATGTAGACTGAAAAGAAATTTTGAACATTAAAGTCAATTTTGTCACCTGTCGAAAATAAATATGCATTAAACCCTGTAGGCAAGTAGGAATTATGCCCATTTTATTTAAAATTTAATAGAAATTATTGAAAACAGCCAAAATATGCAAAATGTTACACAAAAATGTTTGCGGGAAAAATATAAACATACACATAGAATTAGATGTCATATTATGGTGGACGTGTTGTCGCTCAATCAAAAGAAGCAACTTGAAATGCAAAGTTCTTCAATCCATGCCGACTCACAGTAATGCAATATCAATGCTCGCTTTGAGAAAAACAAATCCATGTTTACATACTTGAGTGACAAAGAATATATACTAACCTCAAGCAGGCTTAGAAGCAATGAAACATTGTCCTTGTTTTTGATAAATATCTCAGTGAACTGACCACTCAGATCTTCTGGGTCAGGATTCCTGACAACCTCTGGGATGTAATCTTCGTCTTCTATACAGAGAGAAACAAACAACCACATTCACATAGCAGCAATCATAAAAAAAAAAGTAGTTTTACATTCATCAGAATATCTTTGATATAACATTGAACAAAATCATGCAAAACCTTGACTGAGAATTGACATATGTACGGACATTGATTGATACCAAGCTTTAGCATTCTAAAATTATTAACATAGCATAACTAATAAAACCTTGTCCATTAAAAACTTAGATTAAATACTGTAAAACATGTCTTTTTTGCGAGGATGTCTTTTTCGCGAATTTAGCGAGAGAACTGATTCGCTAATTCAAGATGTCGCTAATGACTTTATTATAAATTCAAAATGGCCGCCAAACAAAGAAATCAACAATGACAAGAGAAATTTGCTAAATCAACATTTTGCTATTACGTCATTTTACCACAATTCGCTAAAATTGCATGCCGCTTTTTCAACATGTTTTACAGTAACAAATGTATGGATGGATAACAACTGGGCGTACAATATATAAAAGTCCTGAAACAATGCAATAATATATTAGCATTTTGTGAGGAAAATACCAGCTAAAAAAATCATCCTAATTACAAAAAAAATTAAATAATATTTACGTTCCTCAAATAATACTACATGTAATGTATTAATCTCAATGTATTGCATAAAAAAATACAACTTGAACTGTATAAAAAATTACTGAAAATAAAATTCAGCAACAAAAATTATTAAAAATTACTGCCAATGTGTTCTGCAATTATATTACATATACCGTATTAATCTCAATGTTCCTTATAAAATAATATAGCATGAATGGTAAAAATTTTCAAATAATACATTTCAGAAAAATAAAATACTAGCCAGATTTAAAAAAGGTGAGAAACACTGCACTTTTTTTTATTTATACTCGTAACAACATAACAGATATCGGAGAGCATTATTAAAACCTGGTTCTCATTATCAGCAGTATAAATTTCTTTATTCTCACAACTTATTTCTACTTCAAAAAAGGTTTTATTTCATTCAAATTTTATCTCATAATTTGAAAATTTCACTTGCTAGTTACACCAAAATTGAACTTGGTTGACATTTCATAGCTATTAATACGAGTCCCAAACTTGAAGACGATTAAATAAAATTTTAAGGTAGCGGAATAGTTTTTTGGGCACTTTTCACATTTTTTTTTGAAAATCACAAGCATAGCTCCATAAGGCATGCCACATACATTAGTGTATTTATTTTATTGAAAAAATAATATCTTGTACAAGTAAACTGGTTTTTTCCTTGTGTGCAAACAAATACCCAAGTTTTTTGTTTATCCAGTGTACACCCCATGAGTGCTTCTCATTAATATTCATGGTTAACAAACATAACGGAACTGGGGCTAAGCTATTTACAAACAACTGATAAGATATCTGTTTGTAGTTTACACACAGCTGATAAGATGTGTGCACTGCTTGTTTCAAGAGGAGGAAGCTGTACAGCAAAAACAAAAAACACTTTCGAAACAACAAATTTTGTATAAACAAAATAG